TCATTTGGGAAAAAACGTATTTTTAGTTTTTTTAATGATTCTAATTTCTACATTTCACCAATACAATAAAGCTAATGTACTTTTTAAAATGTGTCACTGTAAGGTGCCAGTTCTACTTGTAATATTTTGGTCAATAATACAAGTATACTGGATAATCAAGTCAAGTTATATATTCTTATTTCATAGGGTGCAAAGGATCCTTATTTTGCAAATATAAGATTTATAAATGCAGGGTCTTACATATATTTCTATCATGAGAATTAAATGGTAACTTTTCTGACAGATTAACATTCATATGATTTATAGCATTCATTGACATATACGTTTTATGGCACAGGAAAGTTAACAAAGAAGTTAGAAAAGAAAAAGAATTCATACAGACCATATAAGATAACAGAAGAACACATCTGAATCTCAGGAAAAGTCATGTACCAGTTAACTCATGAATAGAAAAAAGTCAAACAGTACATTTTGAGTTTCCCTTTGACAGTGAATGACATTAAAAAAATTCAAGACACTTAAGCACAAACACACATTCATTTCATTGCGTTACAGTCCAATTTCACTATGTATGCTAAGTATATAGTGATGTCATAATTATACTATGCTACAAAGAAACAGCAGTTTTGGGAAAGGACATGAATTACAGGAGACAAGAAAGTTTAGGAACAGAAAAGCTCCATATAAGTTTTACTACAATTCCTTGTATTATTTGAATAAAAAGCCCACTGCCTTTTCCCCCTATTGCACTGTCCACTTCAACCTCCTACTCTATACCTGCTCCAAGGTGCCCCGCCTTATAATTGGGTCATGAAAATTGGAAAAATTCAAGATACAATTAGAAAAATGTACAAGTATCAACAACAGTAACACTAAAAAAAAAAAAAAAAAAAAAAAAAAAACACAACAACAAAAACACGAACCTCCTGCCCTCATGGAGCTTACACTCTACCAAGTTAACTTGACATTAAAGATAATTATACATGTAAACACACAATTAAAAGTGTGGTTGTTGTGAAGTAAAGTACAGAACTCCAATCACAGAACCAACATTTAATTGACAGTTATTAACCTTTGTTCTTGAACTGTGAATCCGTTTTTAGGGCTAGATTTGCTCATATAACTTACTTTTGACTTGTCCTGATTTAATATCTCATTCATTCTCTTGGACAACCATTTGAGTACAATATAAACATATAACTAATCATTAGAATAAAAGGGTCATACATGAAAGTAAACATGAAAGAGTAAACAAGAAGCATGAAATTTTTGGCAAGAAGTTAATTATTAATTCTAAATAGAACAAAGAATAATATTAGCATTACAGTGATCCAACAAATTTCTAACCAGAAAAGGGTACAAATAAAATTTCACAAAGACTATTTGAATCCATCTATCCACAACCAGCAGCAGGAAGGTTGGTTTTAGATCATGTCCTCAGCTCTCCAAAGAAAATCACAATAAAGTTTTACTCCTAGTCATATCTAGATGGAGGTGAAACAGCTTTATTTACAAATCATGACAATATATACAAATTACTGAAATTTTTTAAAACAGAATAACCAGTTGAAGGCATTATGTGATACAGCCTGTGCAGCATGAGTCAGCTTGCATTTTGTTTTGACTCTGCCAGCTCATAGCAAGCATCCCTAACACATCTCCATCTGACAGTTGTCTGTCACCCAGAAATGGTGTTTTACAGCATGTAAGCCCTGTGGAGAGAGAAAGACTCACACCAACCCTCCAAGGGCACATCACAAAGTGACACCAGCACTTGCCTCTGGAGAGAGGAATGAAAGGCACGATGAAGAAATTTATAAGGACTGCACTTTTTGCATGTGTGACTCAATTTTAATGGAGTGCATTTTATATAAAATATATACAATATACAATTCATACAGGAGAAATCAGAATGATAATGTTCTTGAATCTGCTTTCACTTCCTGATTCATTAAAGCTTTATTCTACAGTCACTGAATTAACTGCTCCACAGAGAAACATGGTGTGGAAAGCAGCAGTCCAGGCAGAAAATGTGCTGTAAAAATCTGGAAAATAGGAGCTTATAACACAAATAAGTATGTTATACTGGGCAGGTTTAACATCTACTGTATGCATAGCTAGGATTTAACCTGATGTAGAAAGATACAATGTGAAGTTTTAGACACTTATGACTCCTCCCCCAAGTGGTATAAGGCAGAGATACATACCCATAAGGCATCTTGATTCATATTATTTTTACTTTTTTCTCGATTCCTAACACTCTTTGTAATAATCTCATAACACTTCTATTCTGTCAATTATGTTAATTTAATCACACCTATACTGACATTCTTCAAAACAATGCCATGTAAACAATAGTATTTTTGTTCTATAATGTAGACTAAATTAATTTACAATTAAGACAGAAAAATAATGCTTCTCTATATACCCATGTGCATTTCTATATACCCAATTAATCAAAATCAAAGTGATTACTTTGATTTTCAAAATATTCCACTCTATCTTAAAATCTCAATACCCTATTTAATATCAAAAAGCATCCTAGTTCCATTACTTAAAGAAGAATGCAATCAAGAAATCAAATTCTTGTCAACTGTAGCTCTGTGTTGATTGAGGGACAAAATTTGATTATAAATGAAGAAATAAAAATATATACACCTGTAAACAGAAAAACATTTAAAACTGATACAGTAAAACTGAATGAAGTGACACTCAACATTAATTTCACCAAAATATATGAGCTGAATATAAACATGAACTATTCCATATGTAGTGCTAAATGGTTATATAATTAGAAAATTAACAGCTACTTCTTCACAGAATAATGAATGAGTTGGGAGACTTAGAAATTTGTGTGTATAAATACATGCATTCATATAAATATACACATGCAGTATACAAGCAAACATAATTTGTTCAGCCAGTAAACAGAATATATAGTTTTCTCTAGGCCATACTTCATCCATTGACTAAATTACATAGCCAGAAACACCATCTGGGAATTCCCAGTCAGTCAATGGGAGTTTGGCCTCAGATGAAACAGTTCAGCAAGCACCCCAAATGGTACACAAAAGTCTTTAAAAGAATTGATATGTACTGTTACTTGAATGTTACTAGATTCTTGAAATGTGATTTAATTATGTTATTACTGGAAATGGTTGGTCAAAACAAAAATTACAATAGCATATGCTATTGACTCAAAGTATCCAAACAGCATTTGTTTCAAAGACTCTATTTTACACATTTAAAACATTGATACCATTTCTTACTTAGTGTTTGGCTCATGTTCAGATGCTTGCTCAAGTTGAAAAGTTACTCTGTTAGATGACAGAAATGTAAAAGTGTAGAACTGTAAACTTTGGTCCCAATCCACGTGTTAATATTTGCAGCGGAAGAAAGATTCACAGAATACAAAGGAAGACACAGTTCTGGATTTAAAATTTAAAAACTGGAGACCAAGGGCACATTTAAAAAATGGTTAAATATTATTCTATGCATTTGCTATAACTGCATTATCATCTACTTTCTCTCAATAACAGCTCTAAACACAATGTGATGGTTCTAAAAGGCAAGTTAAACATGCTTCTGAGTTTTGTACCAACACCAGCAAAGAGCACACATGCCTGACTTACCAAATGATGCAGGAATATACAGCTGGCTGATAATTCTCTTAAAATTAGTGCACATAAAAAACAGGTTTGTTTTGCTTCTGTCTTCATGACTATGTCTTTTGAGGTTACCACAGAGGTAATGTACACACATGACATCAGCAGACAACAGGTGAGGAGCTCACAGCAGGGCCATTTCAGTGCCGTACAATGCTTGGACTTAAGGCTCAACACAAAACAGCTGGCACAGGTGCACTCCACCAGAGCCAAAGGTTTGCAGATGATGTGATATGGTTACCACATTCATCACCTAACCACCATCAAATGACACTGCAGAAACTGATACCCTGACCTCTACCTAATTTCTAAATACACTAATAAACAGCTGATAGGAAAAAAATTATCACTACAAACAACAAAAAAGAAAGAAAAACGAGAGGATGGAGGACTGCAGAACATAAACACTTCGGTGAGTTTTTCTTACCTTAAATTCATAAATATCCATTTATACACATACCTGCCTCCCAGTGCCTACTATGAATGCCAAAAGTCTACATACATTTGCAATTTAGACACAATATAATATATACAGATGATATTTGGAAAAAAATAATGTAATACCTTTACTTTTACCTATGCATTTGATGAAATGGTTCCATGAAGAAAGGTGTTCCAGACAAAGAGAGTAAAGAGGAGAAAAACAACAGTAAGAATTATGAATATATGTAAATGCACTGCTCTCTGAAAATTAAACAAGACAAGAAGTACAAATCAGATTTTAAAGATAAATGAGATGCAGTCAGTACATTCTGAGAATTCTGCTCTTAAAGCCTCGCATGCAGGAATTGGAAGGCTCATGCCGGTTATTAAAGATTACACAAAAGGAAGGCACACGTAAGTGCGGGTAGAAGTATTAACGGTTCCACGGAACACTACATTCAGCATTCTAGGAGCCAAAAGCCACAGATTCTGCACGTTGCCAAACTGCCATGCATGGATGAAAAATGGACTGTTTCTGTTACTGTAGGTCAAACTAAGTTTCTTCTTTCAGATACTAACTTCCAACTTTTCTTAGCTATTTTTACTATAACCACCCTTAATGGCATATGCTGATAAATATACAGAGATCTTCCGTTACAATTTCTTATATCACACTTATTTGCAGATATTATAGTGCAAGAAATGAGGAAAACAAAAGTCAGAGGAGCAAACCAAAATCAAACCACCAAAAAAAGGTGAGGAAAACACATCATAAAATGTGAACAAAAGCTATGTATTTAATTTGCAGCCAGAAAATTTGCAAGCATGTGTCCATCCATTGCAGAGATGGCTGAAAGCAGCTACAGAACAACAAGACACTGAAGCAGAGTGGAAAAGGAACAGAGCCCATACCTTGGTCGCCCATCATCAGGTGCGCCAGACCTTGAAGGGAAACAAGAGCAGAGTCAGCAATAAACAAGGGTGCATGGGAAGGCAGGCTTGTCACAGTGACAAAAATGTTCAGTGCCCGACATCTTGTTTACTACGAGACGTGTCTGTACCATAGATGCAAATTAAAAAGCATTCTTTCAACCACTGGTTGGAATGCTTTGGGGCATTTTAACACTAATTTTGTGATTTAAACACTAGCATATGCTGCTCTGTGTATTTCTCCTAAGTATCATCTGGAATAATCGTAAGCTCATGACTTAAAATCCAATGAGTCCATTATATTACATATGCCCTTTGTGTCCTTTAAGACATTGATTTGAACACTGCCCCCATTGGACGTGTCATTTTTCTGTGATGAAATTGTCTTTTTGTAAAATCCCAAAGGAATATCTGAAACATGGGCTGGGTCTGATCTTTTTCCCCTCATCAAAAATGAGGTTTCATAATTACATGAAAAAAAATCCTTAGTCACACTGAAAATGATAATGCAGAAATGTCTCCTTGTCTTGCACATGTAGAAATTGACTAGGCTTATTCAAATAATCATTATACATGCAGTTGTGAAGTGAGAATCTAACATAAAATAGTATCTTTAAGAAACAATGCATCATTTTTAAATGAGCTGAACTGATTTTTCATGGAAAATAAAATTATTAGCATTTTATTTAAAGTATAGTTAAATGATGAATTATAAGTTAATGTGTATTTAAAATACAATTTCATCAAGAAATATTTTTAACTATTTTTAAGATGACAATATGTATCAACTAGTGATTTTATGATGTTAGTTTTTTGAATTCTGTTTTATTCTTTTTTCTTTTTTCTATTTTGTTTTTTCTTTTATTTCTTTCAAGAATGAAAAATAAATAAAACTACCAAAAAAGAAATGTTTTTAATACTACTAAAATACCTTTATTTCTTGTTTAACACATACGTTTAAAGTGATGATCACTCCTTTTCTACAAAGTACTGCAAATTGTTCCTTACAAAGATCTTTCACTACCATCATGCTGCTCTTTACTGAACAGCATGTCTTATTTGCTGATATAAATTCATAAAGAAAGATATTTCTTAATCTGTGTATTATTTTAAGAATTTAGGAAAATGCTGGAATAATATTTTAAGGATGGATACATTAAAATTCCTATTTGCATTTTAGGTTTCTAGCACCATTTTAGGTATATCTGAAATTTAATAGAGCTATGAAACATTATGGAGCCACACGTAGAGGTGCACACCTGTAATCTCAGCACTCAGGAGGCTGAGGCACGGAGAACCACTGTGAGTTCCAGGCCAGCTGGGCTACATAAGCAAGTTGGAGGCCAGCATGGACTGGATACCAAGATTTTGTCTCAAAATGAATAAATAAATGAATCCATTATCAATTGGTTGCATCAATACTAAAATAACCTTCTTTTTCTTAACACACAAGAGTATTATAAACATTTTGGGGGGCAGATATAATTACAAATTCTCATATAAAATATAATATGGAAATGACAAAATAATTTGTTGTTTCTGCAGCACATTGTATATTGTTTTTACTCAAAATGCACAAACACAAACTAAAGAGTTTATATGCTAATGACATAATGTTTCATAGATTAAGAATGGCTGATTACTTCAGGTTTTATAGCTTTTCATTTAACTTTTAAAACCATATATATACCTACATGTACAGATATATATGTTGCTATGTATATACACATATTTCCATTTACTGTGTATTACTTTTGTAAGCTAGGTTAGGGAATTATTGGTGATAATTTCTAACTTTTAGAAAATACTGTTAGACAGTTCTGATGGTTTTGATACTGCATGAATATGGATGAAATTTAAGAAATCTTGCAAGTGCTCACACTGCCTCTGCTGGACTTCCTGCCTCTAACGGGAGCTCATTACATTCTCAAAGCCTTCTTATAAACAGGGATGTTAGAATTAAGACTGAATAAACTGTATTGCAATAGATTATCGAACTATATTCTGAGACTCGGCAAAACTTTGCATGGAATGCCTATGAAAACAAAGAGGCAGTCATCCTAATTACACTGATTTTTAAAGCTCCCTGGAATCCATTTGCACAAAATAAATGAGACGGATTTAGGAAGAAATCAGACCTGCAGAGCAATACCATCTTCATCGAGTGTGTACTCACATGCCATTAAAATTACAATACAGAAAAACAGAAGCCATATTGTTTATTGGAGTTTTAATATGTTTTTACTTCATTAACAACAATGGTTCGCAGCAGTTATAACACTGTCCGTGAGAGAATCACACATATGACATTGAACTCTGCTACTAATTAACTTTGTGTATCATGGAATATATTTTATTTTGAAATACTAAGTCCTGGTGACCTTACTGGAAATTTATCTGTAACTTTGGATAGGGAGACTTTTTATGAGAAATGTTTCATTCTCTAGAAATACACATATTTTACAAATGATTATATTTCAAAATATGACAGCAAAATAGAATATGCTAAATGATGTGTTTTGCAAAATTGATTAGAGAAGTGTTTATGCTGTGATTATATAAAATGATCAAATGTGTAAAAGAGAAAAACCTTCCCTTTCGGGTCAAGGTTATGGTTTAGTGGCACAGTGCCCACCTGGCAAGCACAAGGTCATGAGTTCAATTCCCAATACAAAAAAAAAAAAAAATTGTGAAAAAAAAAAAAGATTTCACAAATCTTTTCACTACACAGTTCTTTTTATATATTTATCCTCTAAAGATTTGATAGCAACATGTTGACTAAAGCATTTATTTAAAAACAAAAATATTGAAATGTATTTGTGGTATTTTACAACAAAATGTGTAACTTTCTCAAAAATCTTTGATAGAGAAACTTTAACTACAAGTTATAGTTTTAACAGACACAGACAAATTTACTTACCAGTAATCACATTCAACTGTGCCTTTCCACTGGCTGTGGCTTTTATTTAAGCTAAATTGGTGGCTCTTATTTATAGTCAGTATTTTATTCTGTGCTCTTTTTATAAATCAAATCATTTGAAACAAAGTAACGAGCTTGAAATGATATAATACCAAACATCTCCAACAGAAAAAGAACAATCAAGAAAACAATGGAGAACGGATCATGCATTGTGTCCTGAAACTACAGAGAAACACTTTCCCTTTAAAAAAAGAAGAAAAAAAAAAAAAATAGCACTGTATCACTTTTCCATACAGAACAGGCAGTCAGGATCTCATGGTTCATCGAGGATCTGATATGCCCCATGCACTGCTTCTCCACTGAAGCCGTTTCACACCCTGGAGGCTGACATAGATCAGAGTAGGTGTGCTCTCTATGAAAAGTGATACATGTTCCAGAAATCAACAAATGCTCAGAAAGAAGTTGAACTTACCTTCTAATTTCAAGATGTACTCTGTTAAAACTAAGAAATAAAAAGCAAATGAAAGTTGGAAAGAAAGACAGAAATCACCCACCTTCCACATGGTTGTCTTCTGAAAGCGCATGACAAGGAGGGAGAGAAAAGGAGAAACATTCATTAAGCGGCATGCAGACTGTACCTTGCCTCTGCATGGCTTCCGCATGCAAGGCATCAAACACATCATGCAGTGCTCCATCACTGTCATTCAGGGGACAAAAACCACAGGGAGCAGTTCCCTCCCACTGCTAGCATGTGTAGGGCATGAGACAAACTTCAGGAACACCGCTATGTCCTGAGCAAAGGTATTAAACAGTCTTTCCCTGCCCTGTATAATTTATTACATGTTGCTGGCAGGACTTTTCTAGGCAATAATTTTTAAAAGCTTTTTATCTATTTATTATTTTTTTAGCAATTCTAAAAAGCCCTATATCTATGTATTGACGCAGACTAGGATACAAGAAAGTCCACCGCTATGAAATTTGTCTGAAAGTCACTTTGATTTTACCAAACGTTATTACCCCTGGGACACTGCTTCTTTGTTTACTATTTCTAACAACTCCACTGATTTCCATAAAGAAATACTACACAGATTTATGCAACTAAAATCTAAAACTCATTTTGCATATTTTATATCACAGTCACTTTACTGCAAATGGTGACAGTTTAGTGTAAGTTTTTAAATGCTAACTGTTAAAATGTGAAACAGAAGGGCTGAGGGGTTGGCTTGAAGGGAGCTCACTGGCTTTGCCAATACGCACCAAGGCTCTTGATGCTACCCCCAGCTCAACAAAGAGGAAAAAAATAAACAGTAAATTTTAGGTAAGAAGTAAAATCGAAAAAAAATAAAAGTGGGATCTGTCCATTGGGTCACATTAATCATAATATAATCACTTTGTATTTCTGTTCAGGATGTGAACTGTAGTTAAGCCAGTATCAATGCTAAGTGGCTTCCCTTTGTACTTACATGCATCCATGTAGTAGTTTCATATATCATATATTCAGTTAGTTATATTTCCTTACGTGCACATACATGTGTGTATGCAAACACGAATACAAGGAGACTTTATGTGTACTTACTAAATTTAATCTCTGTAAGTCTATGGTGTCTAAACTGTCATTAGGAAGTATTAGAAATTCACATGGATTTGAGTGACACTAAAGGCTTGGCAGCTGGGCTAGATAAGAAAGAAGTGAGCAATCGTCCTAGCCTAGGGCAAGAACAGGGCTCAACATTCACAGAAAATTTTCAACAGTTAATTACATCCATGTTGATATTCCAGTCTCATTCTTACACTGTTTATAATTTACAAATGGCCCTTTCATCAGAACAATTTCCAAGAAACCTGATAGTAAAACCAAATATAAGTACACTATTTCACTGGACTCAAAGTATATACGTTCAAGGTGTTAAATTATTACTGAATTAAAAATCTTCAATTATGTTTAAGCTCTATTAACTGGGAACTAAAATTTCAATGAGGTATATTTACTGATTTAGTATTAGCATGTAATAGAAACCTTCTGGCCTTTTGAGGCATAGTAATTTTTCTCAGTACTTGGTTTCTCAAGAATTTATTTCAGATGAAATAACAAAATATTGATTCAATTATTTAGTATGTGACATTCAATTTGAGTTTGTTTTTGGTTTCCAATCTATCAAATAAGGAATTAAAATGAATTTATTCACGGTGCGTGCCTGGCAAGTGTGAGGTTGTGAGTTCAATTCCTGGTACCAAAAACTAAACTAAACTAAACTAAATTTGCTAGTTTTCCTTGGGATTGGGGGTGACATAAACACAAACATTAAAGTTACTTTACTGCTTTATAGTGGATCTAATAAAACAGTATTATTTATTTTAGCTTTATGTTAATTGCTCTTTAAAATTGTATTTCTTGCCTGGGTGATAGTGCTTGCCTATGATTCCAGCACTCTGGAGACTGAGGCAGGAGGATCTTCATGAATTTCAGGCCAGTCTGGACTACACAGTGAGTTTAAGGCTAGCGTGCACTACACAGTGAAATCATGTCTCAAAAAAACTGTATTTCTTATATACAATACTTTTCCAGATAAGTGTATTTGATGCATAGCATGAAGTAACAAAATCTGCGAATTCTGAGGAAAATCAAGGACCAAGACAGTGTGTCAGTAACTGACAGTAACTGATTTCTGTAAGCAACAGACTGACAAATACCACTGTGAGTAGCAGAGTCACAGTACAGGCTTTGGTCAAGTACTGCATAAAAAATGTAACAGAAAACAATAAAAAACAAGCGAACTTAACACTTAAAAGCTTGCTATTGGTCTACCAGGGAAAGAAGTTTACTCGTGACTTCAAATCACTGACTTAGCCCAACCCTAGCAAGCAAGCTCTTCACATCCACTCGGCACAGAGCATGTGCAGGTACAGGTTCAGCCCTGCAGCCTGCATTCTGTTCTCAATTCTTATTCAGAAAGAGAACAAGCTGTCAGCAAGACTTCTCAGAAGTGAATAAACCTTAGTCCTGCCCATTGTGTAAACCATTCCTGATCTGATTACACATCTACTAGGGTAAAAGGAAGGGCCACAGACTGATGTACAAAATGAAGGGCAAAACTGGCGTGGAGTGAACTACACTCTCCTTTAGTTCCTATACAGCTTCAAAATTCCTCACAAGATTAAAAATTTCAAAACAACAAAAAACCCTTTTTTCTTATTTCATTCTGTTCATCCATTTGGCTTACCATTAGCAGGCTTCAGATAATGTAAGTGTGGTTAAACCTAAAGACGGCCCCTGCATTGTTTCAAAATTTGGACTTTATCTAGATCTAGCATTTAGGATCATTCTCCAGGTATCTTCCTCCTTCTTTTAGGTTGTTTATAGAGTAAATAATGAATAATGAGTTGTAATAGTTTTCCAATGATATCAACTTTGTCTTATATTTGTGCATTAGTACACCATCAGGCACTGGTTTTGGTTTTGAGCAGCTACAGAGAGGTGGTAAGTTTCGGCATGCCAAGGTTAATGGGAAAGGAGGATGTTTTGGTTTAGTGTAAGGTAGAAAGCAATCCATTTGGTCTTACCTGTAGATACTGTCAAATTAGGGGGAAAATGTCTTAATTTGCAGAAAACCCTGGTTTCTTCACTCTTCTGGCCTAATCCTCGCTGAGTGATGACTGTGTCACTTTAATACCCAACTTTACTATGTTGAACATACCACCTAGAAGATCATGCTCTTGTTTTCTTTTGACTACAATAATAAGCCCCAAGCTATGAAAAAGCTATTTTAAATTGTATTTCTTTCAGACAGTCATGCATACGCTTCTCTGAGCACCAGAACACCTGTCATGTTATGAAGAGGACTGCGGACTGAAGTGCAAAGAAGCACCCCACTGTTAGCACTGCTATCTTTTCAAATGACAGAGGATGAATATCCCCATATGTTTCTTCTTTTGGCCCCAGCTTAGAGGAACGCTAGGGAAGTAATTCAAACTTATCACGACAGAGTTCTTTGCACACAGTCTTAATTATATGTTCTCCAGAAAAGAAATAGGAAACAAATGTACGTATTTCATAATACAGAAAATCAGAAATTTAAACCTGGTCAGTGCACAAATTAAAGTTTGGAGTAAAATTTCATAAATGACTCTTTTCAGTCTACATAGTGTTTATGTTTAACAATATGAAAGTCTCATCTAAATATAGAGCACTAGGCAATTTGAGTGCTACCGCTGACCTTAGGAACTGGCCAAAGCTGGCAGCTCCTCCCGAGGCACTCCTTGTCTTTGTCTCCCTTCATTTTCCTATACTCTTACTCTCTCTCTCTCTCTCTCTCTCTCTCTCTCTCTCTCTCTCTCTCTCTCAGCTCCTTCAAAACTGCCAGCACTGCTTGTGACTTGTCACAAATCTAAGTTCTCTGAGATGCAGTACCTGGCAGCAAAGTGGTTCAGCGGAACAATGGTCAGATTCTTTCCAGGTCCTCGCATTACTTTTAAGGCTTTAGCCACGATTTGGGAGATCAAATGCCGGAAGAGCAGAATCTTATTCCCATGGTGCTACAGGATAGAACTCGGGTGCACTTTATTTTTCTTTTAGTGTTAACAGTGAAAGCTTTTAGAAACCCTCAGTAGTCTGGAGATGCTTCAAGGACTGGGAAATGGAGGAAATCATTGAGACTGTAGACTGATGCAGCCATCAGACAGAGGAAGAGAAACACCAGCCAGGAGCAGGAGGAAGTTCACACAGAAAATGAAGCATAAAGGTCCATTATGGAGACATGGGGGAGGAAAGAAACAGCCCTGGGCAGAAATCTGGCAAGTTGCAAAAGTGTAATTTTAATAGCCTCAGCTCCTTGTTCCAAAGCCACCTAAATAGATTCCAAGGCCGTCTCACCCTGCCTGCTTGGATCCCAGTGCTAGGCTTGAAGGAGCCAACTGGAACACCCGATTTACAATTCTCTGCCTGCCAGAGTCCAAAAGAAGGGAAACCTCAGTATTGCAGGATCAGAGGTGCTGCCAGTGTCATATCTGGAATTCTACAAATACTTCTCCTACAATTTTTTTTAACAAAAAATGTTTATTGTCATGAATTCAAAATGTTCTATCTTGTTAATGGCAATTATCTAAAAGGAAAGAGAGAAAGTGAGAGAAGAAAAGTAATATACACAGAAAGGACAGAAAAGATGGGAGGAGAAAAGAGAAGAGGAATCAATGATAGGGTAAATTCTTCTGCTATTAAAACTGTTTTTGAATCAGATGGAATTTAATAATTATTCACTGACATATAGTGAATGATTCATATAAACTATAATTTAAATTTTCATTTCATGAGGGATTATTGCAAGGATGTTTAAATTGAGTTTTGGTTCCTGCCTATAGCTACACCTCGAGTATTACTGTTTCTATATTCATTTCAATCGCTGGACCTAGGAAAGGGACACTGCTTTCAACAGTGACTGTGAAACTGGTGGCAGAGTCTATTACATGTGTGTTGACACCTCTCAGTTTTACTTGTGTTGTTGGCTGAAAAATCCACGCTTTCTGACACGGAACTGACAGGTAACCCTAGGCGTACCAGGTACTCTTCTCCTCCCCA